GAGATTTGGTGATTTTAGTTCATCTTAGTGGAGATGGACCAGAGCTTCTCAGGTTTCTTCAGTGGAAAACTTCACAGAATTTCAAGACAAATTCAAAAACCCTCAACTGGGTAGTATAAGATTAACTGAGTGTCAATGTGAGGATGCAAAAGATAAATTTAGTGGAGTTTTTTAAGAGCCTTGCCTAGAAGATCAAGTTGATTGTCAAGATTTGTCACCCTCTTCAGTGCTGAGATTCACAACTAGGTCTTTGTCCAGGAGAAATTTGGAACAAGGTCAGATATAATTAGAAATTTGTTTGGAAATAATGTCTATAAAATCTGATATTAAAACTCTTCGATCATTTTATTTTGAGGCATTTCAAGCCTGAAATGCTTGTTTAGCCTCAGAGACATATACAAAACAATTAAGACAGAGATAAACTGTATACAACTCATTTTATGCAAGAAATTCTTTCATAGGAAACGAAATCTTACATGCTTATCAGGTGTTCAGAACACCATTATCGTGACTGTCTCACTGGAGGGAAATGAAATTTTTGTTTGGTCCTCAGGTTTTAAAATATCATTTTTAAGAAGTGGAAAGTGTCAACAAAAATATAATCTGAATACCTTAGTGCCAAGACTATTTTTGGAATTATCCCATCCCAGTCTTGTCTTTGGTATTTAATGGAGAGTAGGAAATTAGGTATTGAAATGGAAGCATAAACTTCAAATCCATATCTTTTGACCTTTTCCAAGATTTTTTTTAATGGCTTAAAAGGAATTCTCAAAGTTTATTAAATATTTTCTATTAGGCCACTTTCCAAAAGAAAGAGAATATGTGATGTTATTTCAGATTATTTAATGATTTTGTACTCTGTTAATTGGAAATTATTTCTACTTAGACTAATCTCAAGGGGCTCTGGTAGCATAGTGCCTAAGGCACTTGACTGCTAACCAGAAGACTAGAGGTTCAAACCCACCAGCCACTCCTCGGAAGGAAGGATGGGCAATCTACTTGCATAGTGATACTGCCTCGGAAACCCAAGGTGGGGTCTCTATAAGTTGGTCTGACTTGATGGCACATAACAACAACAACAACAACAACATAATCTCAATTCACACTCCCCCCTTTGCCTCTCTCAAAAGAAAGGAAATCATGGTTGTGCCTGGAGGCAACATTTCAGTTTCCATGCATTCTACAAATCTTAGAAAAGCATAGCTTAAAAACTAAATGTGAACAACTAAGTATAATTATGAAAGGGAAGAAAGAAGAATAGAAATAAACTGTCAAAAACAATTCTGAAATTCTTATATCTTAGCAAAGTTTCTATTTTAAAATGCCTTATGTCCATCTCTATAATACTACTGAAAAGGAAGAAAAGGAAAACCTGTTTTCATTACCCTCCAAAGGAGATTCCACTGATTTAGCCATATTGAGACTTTTTGTTTATTGTGAATAATAAAGTTATTGACATTTTATATGGTACCCCAGTCCCTAGGTGATCAAACATCCTCTGGCAAATAAAATTGTATTCAGTAAAGTTGATGTTTTACATTATTATTTGAAAGGGAGATATACCTGTTTGGTATAGACCACAGCATTTCAACAAAATCATCCAGTGTTTACTGAGATAAATCAGCAGAAAACACTTCAACACCTAGGTCAGCTAAATGTGTTAAATGATCTGGAAGCATAAAGAAAGAGACCTTTTGCTTTTTCCTGGGAGGGAAACTAAGTGGTTTCACATGTATGGAGGCTTTTCACTATGGCCTTTATGGAAAGGTCACTTAAAACAATCGGAAAATGCTCAAAAAGAGAGAGAGAGAGTTCTAGCTTGAGGACAAAGTGACTGCAGATCTCATTAACTGAAATAAGAAATAAGGAAGAAAAATTTGCAGATATGGTGATTAGGTTGGAGCAGAGTATTTCTATGTAGAATTGATTATCTTTTTAATTACACATGATCGGAACATTTTATACCTCTTGTTTAGACTTTTAATGTCCCTGTATAGAACTACTAACATGAATTGGGCTAAACTAGTTTTTTTATATATGCGATTTTTCCATGTTGTTGTTGTTGTTGTTATGTGCCGTCGAGTCAAACCCGACTCATAGCGACCCCTCCTTGGGTTTCCGAGGCAGTATCACTACGGAAGTAGGATTGCCCAACCTTCCTTCTGAGGAGTGGCTGGTGGGTTTGAACCGCCAGCCGTCTGGTTAGCAGGCAAGTGTCTTAGCCACTATGCTACCAAAGCTCCCTTTTCCATGTTACGTAATGAAAATATTTCTTACCTAGTTATTCTTCCTTTGGGTTTATTGCACCACACTAAGTAACAACTAACCTGTTAATATCTGTTGTTTATGAAACTATACTTAGTTTTTGAAAACAACCATTCTTTATGTCATATTAAACACAGTTATCTGAAAAAGCAATATTTCTTGAACATTGACTTTTAATCTTTCAGAATTATTTCTAGAAAAAAAATTATCTAGAAAAGATTAAAGTGTTGACAGTGAAATAAGTCAGCTAACTCTTAATATTAATTTTATCTCTCTTAGACATTTGTACTAGACTTTCTCATATTCTTGTTTTCTTTTAAGGTGAAATGCAAATAACAGCAGAGCCATCCAAAGTACATGAGTTTTGTTAATTTAAAATTCAGGAATAAAAGTCCAACTGTATTTAAATTTTAACATGTATCATCATATATATATATATATATATATATATATATATAGTAAATTAATATTTAAATTATGTGATTCATTAAATATTTTCCATAGATATCATTAGTAGGAATAACTTTTTTGGTAGAAGCAGAATTAATTTCCAGTAAATAGTTATCTCTTTGGAGACTTATTTTAAACGCAAATGTGTTTTAAATTTTGGTAAACATCTGTTATTGGGCAAAAGAAAACAGAACATGGAGAAATTGAAAAATTTTGAAGAATTGGGTCTGATTTTTGTGCCATGACATTGGAAATTTTCTACAAATATCAGCATTTTCCTTTAAATAATGAAAATGTTCATGTATTGTGAATAATTTAAACAATGTCATTGAACAATTTGTGTAAATGCAAATGGAACTACAGCCAAGTATTTGAAAACTCATCTATAAATTCAGGAGGTGCTATTGATTTTTCATCATAAGATTCCTTGACTTACAAGAAATTAAAATCTATCAGAGAGTTAGTTTTATTAAAAAAAAAATAAAAAGAAAAGAAAAGCTAACTGTTCCCTCAGGAATATACCAGATATCCAATGAAATAGGTATGTAAGTGCTAGATGTTGATTTTAACTCGGATATCATTTCAGTTTGCATATTTTTTTTTTTTTTTTTAAGTATCTGAAGTTAGAATAAAGGAAGGTTGGGCAATCTACTTCCATAGTGATAAGGCCTTGGAAACCCAAGAAGAAGTTGGTATGGGTGGGAGCCGACTCTATGGCAGTGCGTTTGGTGTTTGAAGTTAGAATAGTCACTGGACATTCTAATGTTAGAAGCTTTTTCCTGAAAAGAATTGTCAGTAATTTTTGCCTTTTGATTGTGTTTTTTGGTGAAGGTTTACATAGCATTTTAGGTTACCATTTAAAAATTTCTACACAAATTGTTCAATGCCATTGGTTACATTCTTCACAGTACATGAACATTCCATTATTTTCATTCTAGTTACTTCAATTCCCTTTAAATTTACATATTTTTTGGGGGGTGGGTATGCCACATAATGCCTAATTTCTCATTTTAAAATAATGCACTTAACAAATAACTGTAAAATATAAATTTTATACAATGTTTTTCATTGTAACATATCTTAAAATTACTCTAAATTCAATAAGAAAAAGGATATTTTTTTTTATAAAAAGTGGACTGACATGCTACTTTTTTTTTTTTTTTTGATCATTTAACTAATATTTAAGGACCCAAACCTGAATCCACTTGCATCAAGTCAGTTCTGATCATAGCTATCCCAGTAGGGTTTCCAAGGCTGTAAATCTTTATAGAAGCAGATCACCTCATCTTTCTCCCATGAGCAACAGTTTGAACCATTGATGTTTTGGTTAGCAGCAGAATGCCTTCTCATAGCATCACTAGAACTCATTTAAGAACAGTATATTATATATAGCAGCCCTGGGGACACAATAGTTAAAGTGCTCAGCTGCTAACCAAAGCATTGGTGGTTTGAACCCTCTAGCCACTCCATGGAAGAAAGATGTGGCAGTCTGCTTCCATAAAGATTACAGCCAAAGAAATCCTGTGGGGGCTGTTCAACTCTGTCTGCTATGAGTCAGAATCAACCCACCACCAATGGCTTTGGCTTTGGTTTAGTTCTATTACATGTATTTATATATATATATTTTTTTTTTTTTTTTCAACTTTATATGTTGTTTTAGCATGATGATATTGGGACTCCATAGTAGAATCAAGATATTTTATTGGATTGAAAGTATCAGAATCTATGTATCAGAATCTTGTTGAAACAAGAGAATGGGTTGAATTTAATAAGATGACTTTTCATAGATTTGAGTTAGAATATGTCCCTGGTTTTACACTTGAATGAATACTAAGCATCAGTTTCTCAGGTGCAAAATGAGACAAAATGTGAAGTCATTCATTTGATTAAACTCAGGATTTCCAGTAAGTACAATCTAATACAACAATACATTATTGATAGCTAAATATATAATCTTAGGCAATATCAATAGGTTTAGTACTAGATGAGAGATGTCATATTTTGCTTTACTTTATACTGATCAGTTCTACTACCCTTTGAGAAAATAAAGACAAATCAGATGATTGGGACATATCAGATAAAAACCAAGAAGTTGGGGGAAAATGTTCTTTTTTACAGTAGGCAAACAAGAAGCTGTTAGATAAAACTTGATGAAGTCATCCAAGCATCTATATCTCCCAGGAGGTTAGCTCTACATAAAACCTAACCAATTTGATAGTGGATTATGAACAAGGGCTTTTTGTTTCTCTCTAGGTATTAAAGCTTACAAACTGTTTGTTCCACAGGAGTCTGAACTTATAGAACTAAGAGAAACCATTGAAATGCTGAAGGCCCAGAACTCTGCTGCCCAGGCAGCCATTCAGGGAGCGCTGAATGGTCCAGACCACCCTCCCAAAGGTATATTTCGAAATATTGACATTTTTCATTGATATAATAGGTGTCTGTTTTATTCATTAATTAAAGTAAAGCTGCCTTTACTCAGTAATACTGCTTTTTATAATGGGTCAGTTGGTAGTAACACAGTCAGAATCCCAGAATTTGATGACAGTAGCTTTATCAAATGATTTTTTTTATTGAGCTTATGGAATTTGCTTTTATAGCTATACATGCCTTTCTCTCCACTTGCTTTAACAAAGGTCATGATAGGGAGATTGGCTAATACATGCATATCTGACTTCAAGCAAAATAAACCCAATAAGAAGTATGAAAATACAGATCTGTGTACAAAAGCAAAATAATCCATGTGGTGATATATCAAGTAGTGGCCATGGGGACCAACTCATTCTGAGAGAGGGCAATAAAAAAAGGTACATTTCTGTTAGATACTTAAAATAAAATAGATGATTAAAAATTGGGGTGCTATTCATAGCATACTCCAGCAATTCTAAACAATAATAAAATATTCCTCTTTGCCATCACTTCCATCTCTTGGTTTGCCACTGAAGAAATCTCTTTACAAAAGAATCTCATGTCATTTTTCTTCATGCAGGCTCTATTTATTCATACCCTGACTCTTTGCAATATGATTCAAAATGCTCAATTCTCCCAGTTTAAAAATTCCTATCTAAACCCTGAATGCCCAACCAGCTCTGTTCCAATTTCCAGATAAACCCTGGAAAATCTGTTTGGAATCTTGCATTGTCTTCAGCTGCCAAATATCCTTTATCCCACTGTAGTCTGGCTTCTCTTCCCATAAATCCTATCAAAACATTCTTTCCAGGATTAAAATTACTTTATGAAGAGCCCTGGTGGTACAGTGGCTAAGGCTTTCTTTCAGCTGCTAACCAAAACTGTCATCAGCTTGAAGCCACCAAGCCGCTCCAAGGGAGAAAATTGAGGGAAGCTGCTTCCATAAAGATATGCAACCTCAGAAAACATAGGGGGTAGTTCTACTGTGTCCTGTAGGGTCACCGTGGGTCAGAGTTGACTCAATGGCAGTGAGTTTTGTTTTGTTTTGTTTTTTATATGACACTACCTAAGTCCCTCTTGCTGGAAACATTCTTTCCTTCTTCTAATGTTCATAACATCATACATTCTGGGTTGTCGTTCTGCCCCTTTGAAATATCTAAGTTCTTTGGTAAGTTCACCCTTTTCATTCATTAATTTTTAATATTACTTAGGACTCTATCCTAGGAGCTCTGGTAGTGTAGTGCCTAAGGCACTTGACTGCTAACCAGAAGGCTGGAGGTTCAAACCCACCAGCCACTCCTCGGAAGGAAGGTTGGGCAATCTACTTCCGTAGTGATACTACCTTGGAAACCCAAGGTGGAGTCACTGTGAGTGGGGTCCGACTCGACAGCACATAACAACAACAAAAAAAAGGACTCTAGCCTAAGCTTTCTTCCATTGTGATTCACTGTATTATGGTCCTGTACATCTGTTTTGGTTCTCTAGTGCTGCTTTAGTAGTTGATATGACAAAAATACCACAAGTGGATGGTTTTAACAAATAGGGATTTATTCTCTTACAGTTTAGGAGGCTTGAAGTCCAAGTTCAAAGTGCTGGCTCTAGGGGTTAGGTGAAGTTCCCTCACCCTTGGGCTTCAGCTCTGCCTCCTGTTCCAGGCCCACTAGAGCTGGAGGCTTTTTCTGACTCACACAGCTGCTGGGTGCTGAGACTGATGAATCCAAGATTGACAGGTAAAATGGCACAGTCTCAAGATTAACAGATAACATGGCAGGCCACTAGTCCAAGTCCAGGAACAATCTAAAGATTGGAGGCAACACAGCAGGCCACTGAGATGAAGACTTGACCAAATGCAGAACCCATATGTGCTAAACACTAGAGACTTTTCTCAAAGCTTCTCCTTATATACTGGAAGCTGGCCATGCCCAGAAGGCAGCTATACAGCTGCTTACAGCAGATTCCACCATGGAGTTGATTACCAGTCTCATCATGGGGAATAACTACATCCAGCTGCCCAGCCACTCAAAACTACAGCTTAGCCAAGTTGACACCACCTTAACTACTACAACATACTACCTAAAATTCCATGAACTTATCTAGTATTCTATCATAAAAGTAAAAATAACCAAATCCACTGCTATTGAGTTGATCCCAAATCATAGTGAACCCCACTGAATTTCCAAGGCTGTAAATTTTAATGGAAGCAGGCTGCCTTATCTTCCTCCCATGGAGCAGCTGGTGGGTTTGAACTGTTGACCTGGTTAGCAGCAAAATGCCTTACCCATTATGCCACCAGAGCTCCTTATTCTATCTGTAGTTATCATTTATATGTTGAAAATTATCATATCCCATTTCAAGGTCAGGGTCATCTCTTGAGTTTTAGATCTGTCTATACAACAGCTAAATAGAGAACTCCATTTGTATATCTTTGAATGTCTGTTTAGCACCTTGAACTCAACATCTCCAAATTCTAACTTGGTATCTGCCCTCTCAGACCTGTAGTGATCCCTGTCTCAGTACATGAAGGTGCTCTGGTGGTGCAGTGCCTAAGGAATTTTACTGCTAACCAGAAGGTTGGTGGTTCAAACCCACAGCCACTCAGCAGAAGGAAGACAGATCAATCAACTTCCATAAAGATTTACCACCTCAGAAACCCAGTGTGGGCTCACTATGAGTTGGAATTGACTTGATGGCAGTACGCTTGGTTTTTGGTTTGGTTTTCTCAGTAAATGGCATCACCTTCCTTACATATAGCCAGAAATCTAGATGTCTTTCATGACTTCTCTTTGATTCAGTAAATCATCAAGTTATGTTGATCCTTCTCCTTAAATATATCTTGAATCTGTTCACTTCTCTGTTCCTACTATTGTCATCCCCATCTTTCCCATGAACTGTGATCACAGCCTCCTCAATTCCCTTCCTGCTATCAATCCTATCCCACCATACATCGTTCTTCACACATAAACTAAAGCAATCATCTAAAACATATATCTACAGATATTGTATTTCATTTAGGATGAAACACAAACTCCATACTATGACATAATCTTTCTTCACCAGCCTTGTTCAGTCAAGAAATATGTATTGATTACCAGTTATGCACCAGACACTGTTTAAGACCTTATCTGTTGTTCTTCTGTCCCATTCAGTGTGTACCATATTTCAACGACCCTGAACTTCTTTCAATTTTTCCGGAAGTTATTGACACGTTCTTTTTATTTAGTTTATTCTACTTGGGCCATTCTATCCTGTTTATTCAGCATAAAAGCTTTTTAAAATTCTGCAGGAGTCTTAAATATGTCTCTGTGACCTCTGAATGAGATGAGATTCCCCTGATACATATTTGTGGAAATAAATTTTTTAATTTAAATTTTAGGAAAACTATTATATAAAGTGAAATATACTTAAATTGAAGGACAAAGTAGTTCCCTAGGGACCACTTCTGCTACGAATTTGTTGTTTTTGTTGTTATGTGCCATTTAGCAACTTTAAATGTAGGGGAGTTGATTTATGTGTTGCATGGAAAATTACTGCATATTTAAAGCTTATCTTAGAGCTATAATAAAGCAGCTTATGTTCTAAATCTTCATGTCGTAAATAGATCCAGAAGGGATTTAAAAGGCTTAATCCTATCTTTAACACAGCACAAGTCACTGAATCAGTGAAACTTTCTGGAAGGATTTCTTTTATCTTAGGCAACAGGTACCTTACTGTATCTACTGGAATTGAAACATAGGAATTCCTTTGCTCAAAATGTGGGAGGGCGTACCTAAAATTAACAAAATAATAACAGTTAATATCCGAATTGGTTGAGAAAGATCAAAAAATAATTTGCCAAGATTTAAAACTAATTTAAAAAAAAAAAAAAAAAACCTCACTGCCATGGAGCCATTTCCAACTCATAGCAACCCCTATTTGGGTTTCTGAGGCTGTAAATCTTTAGGGAAGTAGATTGTCTGGTCTTCCTTCCTGCAGAGTGGCTGGTGGGTTTGACCTGCTGACCTGCCGGTTAGTAGTCAAGTGCCTTATCATTACGCCACCAAACCAAAAGACTAAACTCATTTCGTCAAATTGGATCTGATTCATAGTGACCTCCTTGGGTTTTTGAAGCAGTATCTCTATGGAAGTAGATTGCCTGCTCTTCCTTCTGAGAAGTGGTGGGGGGTTTGAACCATCAGCCTACTGGTTAGCAGTCAAGTGCCTTAGGCCCTACTTCACCAGAGCTCCTCAAAAAAAAAAAAAAAAAACAACTAGATATAATATAAAGGGGTAAATGTATACAGGGTACACAGATTGTGGTTCTATGATATTAAAACTCAAATATTCAATTCAGTGAACCAAAATGTTTCTTTCTTTCTTTTTTTTTTTTTTTGCAATTTTATTTATTTATTTATTTATTTTTATTTTAAGAGTTTGTTTTACATTCAACATTACGTATACATGTAGTTTCACTCCCCATTTACTATCCCCAACACTAACCCAGTCTCCTCTCCTCCCTGCCCAGTAACACCCTCCATGCCCCTCATAGTATGCACTCCTGTGTGTCATCCATTTCCTCCATGTGAATGTTGCCCCTCTGATGCCCTGTGGTCGATTGCTCCAAGGGATGCACTTCCATAGAGTATGTGGGTGTGTTACCCTGGGTTGAGTGGTCTTCATATACATCTTATTTACTATTGGGCTGAGATCCAGCCCCTGAGCATGAGTTTTATTTGAGACCCAGATGTATCCCAAGACCATAATATTGGGGGTCTCACCAGACTCCATCTGACCAGTAGTTCTGGTCATTATTGAGTTTTTGGATTTTGTTCCATGTTTTTCCCACTCTATCCAGGATCTCCAGATGTGATCCTTTCCTGAGTGGTAGGCATTGGTAGCCAGGCACCATCTAGTTCTTCTGGTCTCAAGGGCCATCGTGTCCTAGGACTGATTACTTCCAAATGCCCTTGTTTTTTTTCTTCTTCGCTTTCGATGATAGGAGAACATTAGGTACATCTTAGATGGCTTCTTGAAAGCTTTTAAGACCCCAGTTGCTATCACCAATGTAGGATGAGGAGCAAGACTTTTATGTATTTTGTTGTGCCAATTGAGGCTGGTATCCCCCAATATTATGGTCCTGAATTGGTAGATCCATTGAATCTCTCTCCCACAGTGTCTGGGTGTCTGTGAGGGATTACTCTAAGTCAGTCTTCTGTTGTTTCTGTGAGGATTGGGGGTGTTTTGTATCACTGGTATCTGTGCAAGATTAGCCTCTGCTGAATCTGTCCTTGGTCTACAGTATACTCCTGTTCACTGACACCCCCCATCTGATCCTCTCAGGTGTTCATGTGTTTATTTGTAGCGTGGTGTTTGGTGTTAATGGTAATGCAGTATTATGGATGCACTGGTATTAGCATCTGTAGTATATATCTTATGTGCACTCTTATTATACTGACCATTGATATATTGAAAAAATAATCAGTGAATTGACCTGATTATGTTTCCACTGTGATTAAGTTGCATATATATCCTATAAGTTTATATTATAAGATCATATTGAAATTGGGTTTTTAGGACCACTGAAAATTTATGTCAGGTAAATCTTTAATGTAGACTATTTTCAAGCAAAGTAACAAATATTTTATAGTTAGAACAAACCCTGGAAAAATAGTCTATCGATTTGTTAATAAAAACAAATTGCTATCAAGTCAGTTTCAACTTATGGCAACCCACTCTGTGTCAGAGTTGAAATGTGCTCCATAGGATTTTCAATGGACTTTTTTTAAAGTAGATTGCTGGGCCTTTCTTTCAAGGCACCTCTGTGAAGACTCAAATGTCTAACCTTTCGGTTAGCAGTCCATTGTGCTAACCATTTGCACCACCTAGGGATGCCAATTTATTTATGTACTTGTATATTTTCTCTGTGCCTATTCATGACATTTATTTAAAAATCCTGAAGAAGAATAGCAGTATATAATAGAGCAAATGCATTTATTTATTCAAAAACATTATTTAAGCACCCGTTATTGTGCTAGGCACTCTATTAGATATTGACATACAAAGATAAAAAGATTGTCTCTGCACCCGAGGGACTCACAGTCTACTAAAATTCAAGGTAAACAAATCTTAGGCTTTTTGTAAAACATGATTGTTGTACTGCTGAAAGATGAAGGAAATGGAAATTTTTACTTCTTTCAAAATGTGTTATTGTGCTATTGTTTTTGAATTACTACTTCTGTGTGTAAATGTGGATTTTATTTTTCCTGAAAGTATACCAAGTTTGGCAGCATATATATTAAATTTCTCTCAACAATAAATATTTGATTTTGAACTAATGTTCAGCAAATATAATTGGGTTAAATAAATAATAAGAAAGAATAAATTTATTCCATAAGTATTTATTGATTGCCTATAACATGCTATACTCCATACAAACCCTAGATATACAATGGTAAACAAAATGGGCATGGTCTTTGTCTCTGTTGAACTTGAAGTCTAGTGGGAGGGCAGACAATACATGGTTGTGCTTGATTGTTGGTGCAGCTGAACATGTATACACAAGTAGTTTCTGTTTCCAAGATGGATAAGGATGGGTGCAATAGAGAGGGTGCTAGGGGACCTACTAGAAGTTGCATAGTCAGAAGGCCTTCTGGCCATAGTAACATTTAAGGAGACACCCCAGGAATAATTGTGAAACCACACTGTAAATATTGAGGAAGGAGCATTCTAGGAGGAACTTGAAGCAGATAAAAGGATTAGTATATTTCTAGAACTAATGAAAGGAAGATAATGGGCAACAGTGAAATAAATAGAACAATTTGAGAAAGGTGTAAGTAGAGATCAGAATATTCAAAGACTTTCAGAAATTTTTTAGGAGTTGGGATATTTTTTTATTCTTAGTAAAGTGAGAATCTAATGGAAGGTCCTAAGTAAGAGGATGATGATGGAGTTTTTCTTTTAAAAAGATAACCCTACTATTTACAAAATGGTTTGATGGTGAGTAAGTTGAATAACTATTCATATCTATCTATCTATCTATCTATCTATCTATCTATCTATCTATCTATATCCCAGTGCCATCCAGTCAATTCCAACTCATAGCGACCCTGTGGGACAGAGTAGAACTGCCCCATAGAGTTTCTAAGGCTATAAATCTTCACAGAAGCAGACTGCCATATCTTTCTGATGGAGATAGCTGCTGGATTTGAACCGCTGACCTTTCAGTTAGCAGCTGTGTATTTAATCACTGTGCCACCACATCTCCTTATAGATATATAGATCTATATGAAGATATACACATATGAATGACATATCCACACATATAGTCATTTATAATGTTTTTAATGTAACCAGTTAACCATCTTACTGTCATGGATCATTTTACTATTAATAACTCAGTCAACTGGAAAAGCTTTTATTTTACACTATTATTTCTATGGAAACTCTTTGAACATTATGTAGTAATTGCTGACATCTTACAGCTTTGACTGAGATTTTTTGCATGGGTAATCGTCATTGATTCCACTTAATTAAAGTAATAGAAATGGCTGAAAAAGCAACTTTACATTAGAAATAATCTTGTAAATTCCCCTAGTGTTTCTACTAACACAGTTTACTTTAAGTAAATAAAATTTCAAATGAAGTTTTAATATCTACAAAAAAAAACACCTCATATTGTATGGAGTGAATAGATACTTTTAAAAAGTGACTAAATATCAAATAATATCATCCTCAAAATATTTTGTGGAACTAGAGAAGCTCTGTAAAACTTTTTAAAGTATAGAGGGGTCATATCACACAACATTTAGCATGATAGATGATGGAATCAGCCAAGCTCTGAGCTTAGCTCCATATTTTCCAGCTCTGTTTTAAGAATAAAATTTGATACTCTAGGGACAGAGTAAGCACAGAGTGAAAGTTGGCCCTATTCTCATTTGTTGCTATCATTGCTATTCCAAGTCGTGGACAGGGATTCTGGATATCATGGAAGACTAGTGCTGCCTTAAATATTTTCTCTGTTTAACTCACGAGCCAGATTCTGTTTCGAGGACCTTCCGCTCTTTGGCTCTTTGACCTTGGTTAAATTACTGAAGTTCCTCACACTTCAGTTTTCTCATCTGTGAAATGAAGTGATTGGTTAGATGACTTCCAAGGTTTGTTTTGGCTCCAGTGTGACATAATTCTATGAAATGGAAAATTAATATATTTGCCTTTGGTAACCTTATTCAAGCACAAATATTAAAAAGACACAATTAATTCTCATCCTATTGTGAGTTTCTATCTACTCTGTGGAACTAATCATTTGGAATAAATCATTTTGGAAGCACTGTTTGATTCAGGTATTTAGTAGAAATCACAAGCATAGCATTTCATTTTTGGACAAACTCTGAACTCATTAAACAACTATTGCTACAGACTTACATCAGATTCCCATTGAATCTTAATGCAGATAACTCAGTTAAGTAAAGCAAATACACTTATATTTCACTGAACTTACAAAACCTTACAACTTACAAAACTTACAAAAAATCATTACTAAATGATCTAAGCAAAGCGTTGTCAACCTTATTAGAGAACTTGTTCTTAGAAAGTCTGAAAGTCATTTTTCCGATTGTGAGTCTTTATGAGCAAATGTGATCCTCTCTATCTGTTGCTAGATCTCCGCATCCGAAGACAGCATTCCTCTGAAAGTGTTTCTAGTATCAACAGTGCTACAAGTCATTCCAGCCTTGGCAGTGGTAATGATGCTGACTCCAAGAAAAAGAAAAAGAAAAACTGGGTAAGACACCATCATTAATCTAATTCAAAAATTTAACATTACACAGTGAGTCAGGATTTTTCCTTTTGGGCTTTAGGGATCAGTAGAAGTTTATAAAGCTTCTCATTCAAATGACTGGCACCTCAAATTCTTCACACATTGCCAAGATCAGTTGGCATTGTGTTGACGAGTATGTGTTTTGGAGTTGGCAGTAAATTTGGGTTTGAATCCCAAGTCTGCCACTTACTGTTTGGATCTTGGCAGATTACTTCACCTTTTTTTGCAGAAGGGGGCAGGAGGGCTAAATATGTTCATCTGTGAAAATAGGTTATTAGTAGAGATGTTATAGAGCTACTGAGGAGAAAAATAAGATTATATAAATAAATGTCTTAGAGCAAAGTTTTATTGTAGGAGTGAAGAAGATGATGATGGTGATGAGGAGGGTGGTGGTGGTGGTGGTGGTGCCTAGAGGTAGTAATGGAGGGAAAAGTAGAGAATTGGAAATGGAGAAAGAGGGAAAAAAAAGAAGCCTTGAGGATACTCTTATCAACAGGGCTTTCAGTGTGAATAAAATAATAAGAAATCACTATTTTAGTGTCTGCTTGATTTTTTTTTTTTTTAACCCACGGGATATAACAAAAACATAGAAATGTACTTTAATGGAACTGTGCCTTAGTTTGCTAGTGATATAACTTATGATAATATTAGGCAATGGCTTAACACTAATAAGCAGAAGATGCTGTCACTGCAAAATGTTTAAAAAACAATGAAGTAAAGCAGTGCTTTGAATACCATCAAACAGAGTAGATTTTAAATATGAACAACTCTTTATGAAACCCAAAACCTAACTGTTAGAAGATATTAATAACATAACTATGAGAGGATAGTACTAGAATGTTTTCTATAAATAATGAAAGAAATATCTTTTTTTTGTTTTAAAAAAATGTTTATGCAGGTAATATTTTAAAATACTGATCAGCCTTCATTCCCTTGATTTGTAATTCCACACTCTTTCATGTTTCTGCAAGGTGAACGCTAGAGGAAGTGAGGTGAATATAAACCTTGGACAATTTGGCATGCATCTATTAAAAAAAAAAAAAGAAAAAAGGAAAAAGAAAAAACCCTACCTTGGCATGAATGCTATTCATTTCAGCAGTAGGCTTTCATACCTTTTAAAAACAGTTTACCTTGTATGTCTTTTCTTTGTGTCTTTTCATTTTAATCTCAAATTTTAAAAGAAAAGTAGTAAAACTACTTTCTGAATAGAGCTGTAGGGGATATCAATTCTGGTTTTGAATGGTCTGGGGACTGAAAATTTGAATAGAAAATTGCAATTAATGAAGTGTTAGGTGAATTTGATTTTGATTTTATTTTGCTTTTAAATTTATACTGTCAGCAAGACATGACTTGATTGTAGCTCTAAAGTGGCCATTTAAAACAAATTGCCTTCAAGGGAGAAGCCTTGGGAATGGAGATCCCTTCAAGGTACTTAGTTTTAAATGAGTGCTCTGACAGCTATGGCCTTGACCCTGCACTATTTAAAAACCTCCCATGTTTGCGCTGTGCTGGATTAATACAAGAAAAAAAAAAAACAAAACACAAAACGCGGTATCATTTATTTTAGAGATACTGTGCTGCATCTGTTAATACTCTGCTTATATGTACTGACCCCAGGCAGTGGCTAGGATGGCACCTGCACACTAACTCCCCAAAGCAGAAGCTACCCAAGTGCAAATAGACAAAGGTAATTTCTGTCCTTTTTTCAGCTGAGAAGCTCATTTAAACAAGCCTTTGGGAAGAAAAAATCCACCAAACCTCCTTCCTCACATTCGGACATTGAAGAGCTTACGGATTCATCCCTTCCAGCATCCCCCAAGTTGCCCCATAATGCTGGGGACTGTGGGTCAGCATCAATGAAGCCCTCACAATCTGCCTCAGCGTAAGTCACTCCATCTGTAGAATGCTGGAGTATTTTTAATAAGGAACTCCAGGCCACGCCCATGTTCATATTCTAAATGTAATCACGGGGTGCCTTCAACGCTGCAGCACCATATCGGTACCAGCATGTCCAGCCTCTTCTTACAAGGCACGACAGCATTTGTTTCTCTTTCATTTTTCCTGTGTTAGAATTTGAGTCTTTATCGCCTTCTCCAGTTCTCTGAACCATTCTTTTCACTCGCATTTGTCTAACTGTGCATATATGCAGGTCACCCCTTGTCTGGCCACCAAAGAAACGGCAAAATGGCCCTGTGACCTACAAGCATAGATCCCGGTAAAATGGAGTGTGATGCATGAAAATTGCTTAGATCTCTGTTCTAACCTCAGTAATGTTTGTTTTTGCTTTTGCTAAAATCCCTCGCATGCATTTCAACAATAAAGACCTTTTCTACCTTTCTGTTTTGAGTAAAATTCAAGACCAAACAACAATCTAGTTTTCTTTACTTTATTCAATAATATAACCTAGCATTTTTGTCGAAGCCCACATTTGGGAGTACAGAAAGAGTAAAGCATTTAGAATGTAGATACCTGTACTCTGATGTTTCTCTCTGTTTTGTGTACTCTGTAATCCAGACATTGTTGTATATGCATGAAAATTCCTAGGAGAGGACTGTCATATCCAGCAGGAGCAATACACATTGGTGCATCATTTTCTCACTGTATATGAAGGAAGAAGACAGCTCTGTCATGTCGTGACCAATAACCTGGTCCTCACAGTTCAAATGGAAAAAAATATTAGTTACTAGAAAATAAATTATTCTGACACGTTTCCTACAAAACAAATAATAAGGATAAAACGCACATGAACTTCAAATAGCCCCAACCAGCCTGTTTCTGTGGGTTGAAACCTGCTATTTAGCTTCATTAGCTGTGGTCTCTGAAATCAGCTGAGCCTACCAGGAAGGTTATATAACACTCATCCATTATTTAAATGTCCACAACTCAACTCTCTCATTTATTTCCCACAATATTTACATTGGATTTTCATGGTAACTGAAAGAAGGTATTGTGGAGGCTAAATAAGGTCATTCCTTACAGTTTTGCCAAGGAAAAATTAAGGTAGTTTTTTGGTTTGTGTGTTTTTGCTTTTTTTTTTTTAATACTTTGTATGTTGCAAATGGATATTTAACGTCCTTGAAAAAGGATAGAATCATAGAAAGTCTATGATTCTTCAGCCCTCTATTTATCAGCAGCAAGGGAATTTTGAGGGTCATTTTATATCCAATAATAGAATTTTCAAGAAGCTCTGGTAGCGTAGTGCCTATGGCATTTGACTGCCGAAAAGAAGGCTGGTGGTTCAAACACACCAGCCACTCCTCAGAAGGAAGATTGGGCAATCTACTTCCATAGTTATACTGCCTCGGAAACTCAAGGAGGGTTCTCTATGAGTCAGGTCCAACTCAACGGCTGTGAGTTTTGAGTAACAGTATTTTCAAACATCAAAAAGTAGAAAGAAAAGATTAAAAGAAAAAGACAGCTACTGTTTTCAATTTTGAGCCTCACATGTTACTGTTTGTAAAACTCTATTTCTCTAGGTTTCGCCAGCCGCAAATAATTCCTATACCTGCTGGGTTATAATGCAGACAGGCTTTTAAAAGAGACATTGCTTTTCATAATCCTCTAGCTTTCCCCAAGCACTGATTTTGTGTTCTTTTCCTTCCTCAGGATCTGTGAATGCACAGAAGCTGAGGCAGAGATAATTCTGCAGTTGAAGAGTGAGCTCAGAGAAAAGGAATTAAAATTAACAGATATTCGGCTGGAGGCCCTCAGCTCTGCCCATCACCTTGACCAGATCCGGGAAGCCATGAACCGCATGCAGGTCAGCTTGGAACACGTACAAGGAAAAAGCAGGAGAGATAAAAAAGGGCTGCTTATTTTCTTCTCGTAGCTATTACAGAAATGTTCCCACTTCTAAACCCACGGTGGAAATGCTCTCTGCTTATGAAATCTTTGTAATTTCTTACTTACTCCATATGGATGGAGGATTGGGTCAAATATAGGGCTGCAGGTAGGATTGTAAACTTGTCAGTTGCTCTCTCAGACCATTCAAGGCACTTGTACTAAAGATTGGATTCAGACTGAGAGCTGAATTTTTGAAGGAACTGGTACAATTCTTGCTCCTTCACTTTTCTATGATTTACCTTTATGTTTGCTGCTTTCTGTTCTTTTTAAATTTGACTTTCAAATACCTTTACCTAGTTTCTTTTGAAAAACAACAGTAATGAACAAACTGCAAAAAGTCAACACAGCTTTCTGAATGTGGAAGTGAGAGTGATGTAAAACGCCATCTGTAGAAGTAAAGCTTTTGTGTTTCACAGAAGCATTTGAAGGCTAAATTCGGAACCAGTCTGTACTCAGCCTAAGTTTTCATTTTATTATTGTAAACCAGTAATCACTGGGTACCACAGAAGACTGAAATAAGAAAAGCTCATTGCAGAACAGATTCATCTGCCACTGTATATATTCATCAGAAGGCTCATGTTTTCATGAGCTTAATGCCCCATTTTGAAAGAACAAAAACTTTTTTAGATGTTAGTTGAGGTTTGGAAGTAATTTTGAATAAGCTCACTTAGATTGTTTTTGTCTTGCTCTCTTTTTCAACTCTTCATGAACTCAAGAGTATTTCAAATGGCATATTATTTGTCTATAAGATTTTAACATTTCTTTTCAAATGAGAAATGTTATGAATTATGCAATTATATTATATTATTATATTATTCTTATTGCAAATAAGAACAAATCCTGGAAAACTCCTCAAGTATATGATATATTCAAGAAATGATAATAAAAATAATCTAATGTATATTTTCTCTATTTGTGAATACATATACAAGTATGTGAGAAACAGAAAAAGTTATTTTTTCTTCTTTTGAAGGAAATACTATTTTATTTACATTTGTTCCTTTAACATGTTATCAAGTACTTTATCTAATAAATTTATTTACTCTGATAAAAGAGTGAGTGTCATGTTCCTCAACCAGCTAGCTCGATTTTTTTCTTTTTCCCATATTTTCCATCTTCACAACAGAATGAAATTGAAATTCTGAAGGCTGAAAATGACCGATTGAAGGCAGAAACTGGCAACACAGCTAAGCCTGCTCGGCCACCGTCAGAATCCTCAAGCAGCACCTCTTCTTCATCTTCACGGCAGTCGTTGGGACTCTCTCTAAACAATTTGAACATCACAGAGTCTGTTACCTCAGGTGATTCTGTGCACACTCCTACCTAAACCAAGCATGCCTATGATATAATGGGGATGGCATGGCCAGCCTAGGATTTGGAGGCGTTCACTCACCAGCATTCTCTCCCACACCCTCTTAAAAATGTTAACACCCTATTTCTCAGAAATAGTCCTATTTTTCTCTTACAAATATATCCTACCTTTTTAAGAACATGATCTCTAAGGCTTTCCTTTACTTTTTCACAGAAAATGTCCTTTTAAAATTACAAGTCACTTGCTACCGTCGAGTCAGATCTGACTTACATGGTAATGAGTGAGTTGTAATTTTAAAAGGACATTCTCTGTGAAAAAGTAAAGGAAAGCCTTAGAGATCATGTTCTTAAAATGACTTGTGCTTAAGAACGTACTTCCTCCTTTATTATGAATACAATGAGGAAACGAATACTCTCACTGATCATCATTAGTATTCATGAATATAATAATAACCTCATGCAATTCATAGTGTTTAGATAGTACGAAATTCATTTACTTGTGTGTAGTTATTTCTAGATTAGGCTATATGTTCCTACATGGTGTTGCCCATAGAGACCTACATTATCCAACTCTATTAAATTTTCAATAAACAAAAAGAATATACTGGCTTCTGATATTGTATTCAATGATACTAATGATGGAATGTGGGTATGGTGTTGATTCAATTGCAATTAGACTCATGTGGCAAATATTTTTATCTTAGTATCTAATTAAATATGGTGCAGAATCACCTTGTGTACAGGATTTATTTAGGAAAAATTTAAATGAGGTTTAAATGTGATAATTATAAGAAATCTTGGTGGCAGTGCTTGAGCACTCAGTGCTAACCAAAAGGTCAGTGGTTCAAACCCACCAGCCACTACAAGAGAAAGCTGTGACAATCTTCTTCTGTAGATTGTACAGCCTTGGAAACCCTATAGGTCAGTTCTACCCTGGCCTATCTGTCACTGTGAGTGAAATTGGCTTGACGCAGTGGGTGGTATTTACAAGGCACAACCACCAGATGACGCTTGAAAATAAAAAATATATATATTCCTGGGTAACTAGATTCTATTCGAGAATTGAGACTCTTTCCTGCTTGCCTTAAATAACAATAAAATTTAGAAGAAGAAGAACAAGAAGACAACTAAAATTTAACAATATGCTGATATTGATTACATTTTCAGTTTTTCTGAAAGATGCAAAAGAATCACATCTTTTGTTTGTAACGTCAGAATTTTCAGGCTGTAATTATTGATCTGATTTTACAAAAACACAAAAATTATGAACATTTTTTATAAATTATGTTACATCTTCCCTTCAAAATGTAAAATGGAAACCTAAATATATACTTGTCTTCATCTTTTATTTTTAAATTTTAAAACATGTAGTGGGGCTTGAGGGAATGATTTGAAGAGGAAATAAGTTTTAGGAACAAGCTTCAAGTAAAGTTAATGTTAAAGGCCAAGAAAAACAGAGGTATTTCAGAATTACATGAACTTACAGATAATCATGTAAAAAAGACTGTGGGAATAAATGACAATAGCTTTATAGTGTTCCATACTCTTCAAAAGATACCCAAAAAAAAAAAATGAGATCTGTAGAATCTGAGAGTTCTGAGAAAAATCATAAGTGTTGTCTCCTTGGAGATGAACCTGACAGAGAAGTGAAGTAGCTTCTACACCTAATTGCAACCAGTGCACATTTGTGTCCCTGGCTTGATTCCTAAAGAAAGAAAAGGGATCATAGTTTACAGAATCATTTAAAATGCTACTTGACATGCAGGATTTTACTGCCTGTGCTCCGTGATTTTGTTTTACTCTCTATGTAAACATAAGATTTGGGGGAGACCAGAGTGATATTAAAGTAATGTAGAGAGAACAAACATACAAAAACAAAGCCAGAGTAAATATTCAGGGAAGACTAAAAATTATAAAGGAGCTCTGGTAGCATAGTGCCTAAGGCACTTGACTGCTAACCAGAAGGCTGGTGGTTCAAACCCATCAGCCACTCCTCAGAAGGAAGATTGGGCATTCTACTTCCGTAGTGATACCGCCTTGGAAACCCAAGGAGGGGTTGCTATCAGTTGGGTCTGACTCAATGGCACATAACAACAACAACAGAAATTATAAAGATACATGTAATATCAAGGAATTATTTTAATCAGCATCATTTTAGAATGTTTATGTCCATCAGACTTAACCCCTCTATGGACCATAACTGAGAATTTGTGCCTATTTTTAAGGGGAAGAGGCAATTTTGAAGATAACTTTTTTCAAAAATGTACTATTTCAATTACCCATTTCATCATTCATGTATATTCCTATATAATTTCATTTCATTGATTATTTCTCAATAATTATGCTTTTGTCTGAACTAAGAAAACAGAAATAAATCTAATGATTAGAATACTGTTATTTAGTGAAGTAAAGCTTTGCAAGTCAGAAATGCTTTATGCTGGGGATTTTTAAGAGAAAGCTTTCCAGGGGTCATGATTAATAAAGGAAAGAAGTAGCAGGGAGAGAAGATAATTGACAAATGTCCTGTTCTTGAAATATAACAGGTTTATTCCACACGTCCAATAAAGGTAGACTTTTGAAAAGCATTCAGGTTTTGTCAGAATTTCTCTTCACTGTTACCAGAATGACAGATTTTTATTTTTCCTCTATAATAACTTATTTTCCATATATATATATATATATATATATATATATATATATATATATAATCATCACCTCATTCTTCTTACTTTTCCCTGGAGTTGTTTCTTTAGGTGATCATCACCTTCCATCAAAATAATGTGAACGGGTGGAGACCCAGAGCGATTCATAATGTGATCCTCCTACTGTCCATAGAAAAAGTTAATATAAACATCTAGAGAAAATGAATAATGGCCAGAACAGCTAAACAAAGTAAACACTGAGAAAGTGTTTTAAAAGCCTTATCTCTTTTACTGTTCTATATAATCCTAAGAAGTAGCTGTTGTATTAGCCCCATTTTATAGATGAAGAAACCAAGACTTAGGAAAACAACAATAATAATTTGTACAATAATAGTCCCCCCTTAGCTCTGGTAGCATAGTGCCTAAGGCATTTGATGGCTAACCACAAGGCTAATGATGCAAACCCACCAGCCAGTCCACAGAAGGAAGGTCAGGCAATCTACTTCCATAGTGATACTGCCTCAGAAACCCAAGGAGGGGTCACTATGACTCAGGTCCAACTCGCTGGCAGTGTGTTTGGTTTTGTGTTTACCTGCAGGAGGGTATGTTCCAAGACCCCTCAGTGGATGCCTGAAACCATGGATAGTACTGAATCCTATATATACTATGTTTTGTTTTTTCCTATACAAACATACCAGGGAGCTCTGGTAGCATAGTGGCTAAAGCACTTGACTGCTAACCAGAAGGCTGGGGTTCAAATCCACCAGCCACTCCTCGGAAGGAAGGTTGGGCAATCCTACTTCCGTAGTGATATTGCCTCGGAAACCCAAGGAGGGGTCGCTATGAGTCCGGGCCGACTCGACGGCACATAACAACAAACATACCTATGATAAAGTTTAATTTAGCAGTTAGGCACAGTAGGAGAACAGCAATAACTAGTAATACAATGGAACAGTTATTAAGTAAGATAAGGGTTACCTGAACACAAGCACTGCAATACCAGGACAGTCAATCTCCTAACTGAGACAGGGGCTAAGTGACTAATGGGCAGGTAACATATACAGTGTGGGCAAATGGACAAAGGGATCACTCACATCCTAGGTGAGACAGGGCATACAATTTCATTGTGCTGCTGAGAATGGTGCACAATTTAAAAATGATCAATTACCTATTTCTGAAATTTTCCATTTGTTAATTTTGGTCCGCTATGGACTATGGGTAACTGAAACTGGAAAGAGAAACCACAGATAAGCGGAGACTACTGAACAAGATCTTGCAGCTGTCTTTGGCATAGGTACTTCTCAAACCCAGTACTAGATAAATCTAGTGACTGACCTATTATCTACTATATTAATTTAGCTTTAAATAGCCACATATATAAAAGTCAAGGGTATTCATTCACTCGTTTATTGCTAAATATTTACTTATAGGAGGAGAAATTTCTATTTTAAGCATAAATTTTAAGAGTGGTATGAAATTAATAGAATGTTCCAAGGCAAACTTAAACAGATATGTGGATCAGGAATCATGTTAAACCCCTTCACATGGACTACTGGGCTATATATGATTTGACCCTTACCTACTGCAGCATCACTTCCTAACTCTGTCCACTTTGGTCTCCACTCTTTTAATACCCTGCATGCCTGTCACTTCCTTCAGTACAACCAGCTCCTCCATCAAGGTTTATGAACTTGTCTTGATGACTGAACTTCTCTTTTCCTGACACTTCACGTGCCTTATGGTCTTGCTCCAAAAGTTACCTCCTCAAGGAACCCTTCCAGAGCCACATACCTATCTAGAGCAGGCTGTCTTCACTTACTTTCTGTTTCTTGCACTGTTTATTTCCTGAGTAGCAATTAACATGTTCTGAAATTAGCTTAGAATGTATACTCCGAAAGAGCAGGGAACTCATGTTCCTTCTAATCTAGTATTCATCCTCAATACCCAGAACAGCTCCTGATATCTATTATTTTTAATATAATTATGTTTTTAAAATATTTGTTAAATATTTATGAACACTTATGACAATTGAGAACAGCAATCAAGAAGTTATTTGGCCATAAACTCCATGTTTCTAGAACAGCAATGGTGAGACACTCTAAACTTCTGGGGGAAAGTCATAGAGTTAAAGTCACACTTAAAGAAGACTTCCTTTTGAGTGGGCTAGGCAAAAAGGTAGAATGTTGTAAGAATGCTAGCCTGACACATGATTAAATTCCAATACAGGAGCTCCTCTTTCATGATTTAAAATATTCTAGCCAAAATCTCCCTGTTGTTAGATTGTTATTATTGAAAAGCAATATTTTAGTCTTTCTTTTTCAAAATACCATATTTTTATTGTTCAAGATAATAGATATCATTCCATTTTCAGAAGCCATTCTATTAAATTGTTCTTTACATGACGTTAAGGAGGCCTGGTGTTCCAGTGGTTAAGCTCTCTGCTGCTAACCAAAGAGTCGGGAGTTGAACTCACCAAGTGCTCCAGGAAAAAGATGTGGCAGTCTGCTTCTGTGAAGATTACAACCTTAGAAGCCCTGTGGGGAAGTTCTACAGTGTCCTATAGGGTCACTGTTAGTTGGATTGACTTGAAAGTGACTACAATGGGTTCCATGATGTTATAGTTACAGCACTTTCAGACTAGTTGAGTCCTCCCTTTCCCATGCATGTGTACTGTCCAGCACATAACTGAGTTTCCTTTGTCCACAGAACACTATCTTAGTATTAAGCATGACTCCATAATAATGACATTGTCAAAGGAAAATATATATTTGGAATACTTTGCCTTAATAATTCCCCAAATTGTTAATGTAGTATAATATGTTTTGAAAACTAATTTTTAATCATATTTAAAGGCTGTACTTTAAAGGTTAGCTAGCTTTATCATACTTTTTTAATTCTTAGCTTATTGTTAGAAATACTATTTTGATTTTGCAACTATAAGCGTACAGGGTACAGGAGAGGAATAGTTAATATACTTCTGTAGGAAAGTACAATGCATGGGTTGAAATCAGTAACAGAACCTAATAATTATGAGTATAATGTAAGCCATAGTACAACTGAAAGTGGACCGAATGCTTGAAAATAATTTGATTTGACAGTCAGTCTCAGCACGTTTGCATACATAAATTACATGGGTATTTCTTGGATATTTTAAGTTGGACAGGAAAATCTGATTGCTTTTCAGTTTGTCATGTTTATAATCGTGATTGAATATGACTCAGGTATTACTCAAACCTGTGTGTAATGAAAAAAAAAGCCTCTTATTTTCTCATCTAATGGCAATGGCCCAATACTTAGGTGAAGATGGTTAGAAGTAGAAATAAGTTCTTAGAAATTTTAATACAGCCATGGTAATAGATCATCTTGAAAACATGAGGTTTCCAATCAGTGAGGTTAGAATTACAAGCAAAAAGGCTACCTAGTCCCACTGAAACATATAATACTTTGAGGGAGAAAACAGTTACAACAAACAATATAATTGATGGTACTCAGTTATGTGTTGTGTGTTTCTCTTTTAAATTTCGATAGATATTTTACTAGATGATTCTGGTGATGCAACTGGACATAAAGATGGCCGCAGTGTGAAAATTATAGTCTCCATAGGCAAGGGCTATGGTCAAACAAAGGTATTTCTTTCATCTTAAATTCCTTATTATAAAAGGCTGAGAATTACTATGAGTCAAATGTATTTTATATTTTAGTATTTGTCATTGTGTGTACACTATGAAAGATATTTGCCTTGGCATTATTTTTATGTTATACAAGAATGTTTAATGTTATACAAGAATGAAATTTAAGGACACTAGAAGTTACATCATCATCTAAGCAGAACCCTATCTCATATGTATCTTGTGTTAATTCTCTGTAAACAATACTGTTAATTCCATATCCCCTTAAGTTCCACAACTGAAAACAAAAGTTGCTTTCTTTCTATAAGCATCTTATCTAATATACTCTTTCCATATTACTTATAGATTATAGGCATGCCTCATAGATATTGCAGGTTTGGTTCCAAACTGCCACAATAAAGCAAACATCACAATAAAGAAATTCATACAAAATTCTTTTTTGTTTCCCAGTACATGTAAAGCTATATTTATACTATCCATTAGTCTATTAAATGTGCAATAGCATAGTGAAAAAATTTTAAATATTGTGAGAATAACTAGAATGTGACACAGACACATGAGTACATGCTGTTGGAAAAATGACTTGTTCAATGCATGGTTGCCACAAACCTTCAATTGGTTTAAAAAAAAAAAATGAAGTACGATAAAGCAAAGCACAATAAAATGAGATGTGGCTGTAGATGTAATGTTTATGATATGTATTAACATGTTGCTAGAACTGTCAGCCTGATCTCTGTGCGAAGAAAAGACTATAAGCTTTATGAATTTTTAGACACCAGAAGACGTATTTTCTACCGAGCTCACTCAGCATGAAGATATCCCATTGAAGCTACATGTCTGTATCATTTTTAAGCATTTCATTTTTTCTGAAATTAAATATTGCCTTTAAATTGGCAATTCCATTCTGAATCTACCCTTTCCTTAAAAGTAAAAGGATTCTTTTCAGTTGCACTTTTTATTTGAGTAGGAGCTCTGGTGGCATAGTGCTTAAGGCTTTTGACTCTAACCAGAAGGCTGGCAGTTCAAACCCACCAGCCATTCCTGGGAAGGAAGGTTGGGCAATCTACTTCCATAGTGATACCACCTCGGAAACCCAAGGAGGGATCGCTGTAAGTCCAATCTACTTGATGGCAGTGAGTTTGTCTTTTTTTGTTTTCACTTGAGTGGCAAAAGTTACAAATTTGTTAATAAGCCCCCCTTTTTCCCCCATATCAAATAAAATAAATGTCTTTAGAATTTTGAAGTAATTGTGGTATTTAGGTTTGAAAACATCTTGGGATATTACTGGTGGATTTTTACACTAAGCAAAAGTTCCTAAGACTCTAGTGCTATAAACTTACTGCTTGAGCTGCAGTCTTGTACCTGCTTTTCCCAAGTGGTTATTTATATGACAGAGTATAATAGACTCATGAAAGCCTCAACCATCTCTAATTTAAAAGCAACTCTTTATAAAGTATTGTTTAAGTGTATGTTTTAACTGGGTCATAATCACACTGAAAAACAAGTTTTCTTTTCTTAAAATAGCTTAAAAATACAATGTCTTTGAACATTTTTTTCTAGTAATGCTTAAATAATTAAAACATGTGCACACTGATTTGGCTGTATATTTCTTCACTTTTTCTGAAGAGCACACTGACTTCAGACTCAGATGATATCTAAATAATTGATGGCAATAATAATTTACATTTACAGGGTTAAATATTATAGAGGAGAAACTAAGGTCACACTTTTTAATTAGCTGGTAGGGAATGTATGTTGTAGAATCCACTATCTTCTAACATCTGACCCAGTAATTATTTTGTCATTCCTTAAAGACTTTGTAGGTGATGACTAGAACCAGGAATGTAGTATACCAAACCAAACTCATTGCCATCAAGTTGATTCCAACTCATGCAAACATCACTGGGTTGCCAAGGCTGTAAAATTTGCTTAAGCAGACTACCTCATCTTCCGTGGAGTACCTGGTGGGTTAGAACCACTGACATTTGGTTAGCAGCCAAATGCCTTAACCACTACACCACCAAAGCTCCTGGAATGTAGTATATCAACTATTTAATTGTATCTAATGGCCACTCCTTGGAAGGAAGTTTGGGCAATCCTACTTGCGTAGTGATACTGCCTCAGAAACCCAAGGAGGGGTCGCTATGAGTCGGGCCAACTCGACAACCAAACAGCAACAACAACGACAATGTTATCATGATGACTATTCCATGTAATCATTTCCAATTATCATAAAAAAGGGCTCTAGTCTAACTGTAGTCCAGTTAGACTACAAAAACTGAATTATTTACTTTTCCAATATATAGAAACTCTTCAAAATATCTTCTTACAAAGAAAGATGAATTTGGGGCCATTACTTTTATTGTAAAAATGCTTTGCTTAACAAAATGTGTCCTGCAGGATTCCCTTGTACTTCTTTTAACAATGAATTTTCTAGTAAATCAAAAAATGGGAACTGTTTTATAAATATGTAAATGTGATACAGCCATAGATAATTTTTTTTAAGCTGCATTGTATTTTAGAGATAATCTAAGTTAATAAATTTGAAAACTGAGTTTGAGATTTATCAAAGATAAGATCACAGAACAGTATGCTGAAGTTCTGGGACTCATGTAGTACATTCTACTTCATCCCTATCAGCAGTTCCCTTCTACCAGGCTGCTTCCCTTCGTGACTGCACCACTGCATTATAACAGAAAACGGCTCTTTCTGTTCCCTGCCCTTTCAGTCTACTGATCAGGTTCATGAATCAGCTTTCCTTGATGTACCACTTTTTCTGATCTCATTTTTTCTTACTGTTGTTGCTGCTGTAACTTTGGTAGGTTGGTTGGTTATTTTATGGGGGTGTTTTATTCAATCAGTCATGTATGTGTTTACTATAAAACCCATAGGCTTAATTAATATTTTACTCCTAGTCACTAGCTACTTTAATAAGTTTTAGAAGAAAATGTAGTAATAATATTAGATACACAGTTGGATTTTATTTTGTTTTATTTTGTTCTTATTTAGGATCAGAAATCTCAGGCATATTTGATAGGTTCCATTGGTGTTAGTGGAAAAACCAAGTGGGATGTCTTAGATGGTGTAATTAGACGTCTCTTTAAGGTAAGTTGTGCAATGTGACTGATATTAATGTTCAACTGTGTTTCATTGCAGAGTTTCCATTCTAGCTTGGGCACATCTGCCTTTGCTCTCCTCCATTTCAAATATTAAAGAAAGCTTTCTCTCTTCTTACTATCTGATAAAACAGTTCTTATAGCATCCATTTCTAAAATTCTTGACAGCTGGCTTCATATTCCCATGAGTTTTTTGATTTGTTGTAGATGAGTTGAACTGCTGTTTTGACTTTCCTTTTTGTGTGTACCATTTTAGGAGTATGTGTTCCGAATTGATACATCCACTAGCCTTGGTCTGAGCTCTGACTGCATTGCTAGCTACTGTATAGGAGATTTAATTAGATCTCACAGCCTAGAAGTGCCTGAACTGCTGCCTTGTGGATATCTTGTTGGAGATAATAACGTCATCACTGTGAACCTGAAAGGTAAAAAGAAAAAGGAAAGACAAATGTTTTTCTATTTACTTTTGTTACAAACATTTTTCTCTTTTGAAGTTTCCCTTCAAATTGTAACTTTAAAAGTTGTGTTAAGCACTTTTCTGTTAACAATTTTGGTGTGAAATGAACCATACTGGGTTTTTTAAAGAAACACTAAAATCCTATTATCACACTAAAATTCCAGTTAATGAAATTCTTTGAGTCCTGGAATATGAAAGTTGAAATATAATTTTGAAAATTCCCAAAAACTCACAAAAAAAGAATGTGTTTCAAACAACTTCAAATTTCTAGGTTTTCTCCATTAGCATTTTACCTTTAGAGAGGATTCAAAAATTTTATTGTATATTGAAAAGCAATATAGTCATTGCAGTATCTCTGATTTCAAAATAATTGTCCCCAACAAATACCTTATGGGGATAGAGAATGGAAATTGAGTACTAGGAAGGAAAAATTCTGTCTTCTTTGCTTTAGATGATATGAGAAATGATAAATTGTTGTTGTTGTAACAGAAGTATACTTTATTCAGTAATTCCTTTTTCATATAAAAGAATCAGTATACACCTAAGTAAACAATGGGCTAATGGGGAGTTTGTCAGTATTTGATTTTATGATTATAGTAATTGGATTAGTAAAACATGACACTATTACTTCCTTTCCTGATTCTTTGCCAATCAAAATTTGCGTTCTTCAAAAGCTTAAGTGATTTTACAGCTGGAAAATTGAATGAAATATAGAAATAAATAGAAAGGAAACAGTAATAAACATATACATATATATACACACATATACATATATATGTTTTATGCATATTTATAATCTTCAGATTTATTCTTAACAAAATTAGCATCTCAAAGGCATACAAGAATTTATAATAGAATTTATAGTAATAAAATGTTTCTGGAGCAAAAATAGTGAAAAAACAGCTTGCTTTCATTTGTATGTTAACTCTGCCTTAATAATGATATGTTTGCTGATTTAAAATGACACCACATCTTTATGGTTTAGAGAGATCAATAAAAGTGTTTTGCAAGGGCTGCATTCCCACTATTAACATAGCTCTGTTGTTGGTTGATACTATATTCTAAATTCTAGTTTCTATAGTACAATAACTCATGCTGTTCCTTTTGTTTCTTCCTTCAGGCGTAGAAGAAAATAGTCTGGACAGTTTTGTTTTTGATACGCTAATTCCTAAACCAATTTCCCAAAGGTACTTTAACTTGTTGATGGAGCATCACAGAATCATACTCTCAGGACCAAGTGGTACTGGAAAGACTTATTTAGCAAACAAACTTGCTGAATATGTAATAACCAAATCTGGGAGAAAAAAAACAGAGGATGCAATTGCCACTTTTAATGTGGACCACAAGTCAAGTAAGGTAAGTCATAAAATCCTAAGAGAATGGGTATAGTTTATCCATTGGTGTTTTAAGCAATTAAGTCTTTAGATTATGTGAGACTTCCATATTGTACACGGAAAAAAAGGAATTCGCTCCTTTGACTAAAACTAGACTCTGGCAGATGACAAGCCCTGTTCAATGTATTTGAAAAAGATTCAACAGCATTCAGCTAGTGAATATTCAAGGAGCTCTGGTGGCTCAAGCGTTAAGTGCTAGGCTGCCAATTGAAAGGTCTTCTGTTGAACCACAAGCAGCTCCACAGGAAAAAAAGACCTGGTGATCTGCTTCCTTGATTACATGATTACAGACTGGGGACCTTCATGAGGAAGTTCTACACTGTTAATAGGGTCACTGTGAGTCAGAATCGACTCCATGGCACACAACAACAACGTCAGGTACTCCACAAGGCATTGAGGCTCTACAGGAAAAATGACAAGGTCACAGCTATTTGATTTCTCTTAGATTTTCTTTTGTGAAGTGTTAGAGTTGACTAGGTCTCTGCAAAGTATAATAGAAGCAATAGAGAAGAATAACTCCTCCTGGAGGAATTAAGAGCTCTGGTAGCATAGTGCCTAAGGCATTGGGCTACTAACCAGAAGGCTGGTGGTTCAAACCCACCAGTTACGCCTCGGAAGGAAGACTGGACAATCTACTTCTATAGAGATACCTCCTCAGAAACCCAAGGAGGGGTTGCTGTGGACTTAAGATCAGTGAGTTTGGTTTCATTTTTTGATTTGGAGGAATAAGAGCTTTACATGAAAGGCAATACATAGTCTGAATCTTAACAGATAAGTGGGAATTGATTAGGGTGCTGCAGGAATAGGAGTTTGGGAATAGAATATTCTAGGCAGAAGTTCCATGAGCACCAAACAATTTACTTACGTCACATAACCATTAGCTTTTTACTTAAGAAACTTAGGAAACTGAACACTTCCATTTTACCATCTATTGAGGTCTAAATTGTGCCATAATAATCAACACAAACACTCTCAGCTATTAAATAGACTAGAAGGAGCCAGGACTTTTATACATTCTGAGTAAAATACAGAATTCTAAAAATGAAATGCATTATTCCTAACACTACACTATTTTTTCCCTGTAATTATTCATTACAGTCTGAATCAATTCAGTCTAAGTTTGTCTTGCAAAACTGCAACTGTTACAAGCAATAACTTGAGAACTTCAGATGATACCAGGTCATGGTTTTTCCCAAAGGTAACCTGCTTAGAAGATTTAAACAGACCCAATATTTCAGAAACTTTAGACCTGAACATTCAAAATTAAAAAAAAAAAGGATTCCTAACAGTTTTCCAGATTCATTGGATTCTTGAAGAAAACTAGACATAAACCTCAGTGAACAAAAAGTACTTAATGGAGCAGCTCATTAAGGCCTTGACAATGATCAGCTGTGGAATCTTGGGCAGATCACTGAATTTGTTCAGGCCTCAGTTTCCTCAGCTATAAAATGAGAATTATAGTAGGATTGTGGTAAAGACTATATGAGTGTGTATATGGTGGGAGGAGGAGGGGTATGAGAGAGACAGAGAGAGAAAGATTGAGACAGAACAGCACAAGTGTTAGTATAACATAGTATGAGGTCATCTGCAATTATTCTTGACAGTCGTTGGCCACCAATAACTCATTCTTATACAAATAACTCTCTCACACACACCTTTGTTCAAAATTGTCTTGTATGCACTCTTCAAGGAGAGCAATGGCAAACAAAGCTCAAAGAGATATCTTAAACTTAACTAAATATGGTATGTGAATTCCATATACTTCCTTGGAACTCAGCACTGTTCAAATTGTGTTTGTACAACCTATGGTCATTTCAACTAAGAAGACATGGAAGCTGAGGCAGAATATTTGACTCTTCTCTGAGCAAAAGGAGGAACAGCACGATTGTTTGCGCTCTTCAGCCTGCATGTTTAATGCCTCCTGTGAATTCTGTATCCTCATATCTTTATATAAAAGCCTTTTAACACATTTTTTTCTTTCAGCTGAAAAAGATAAAAGCTTCGAGGTCCCTTAGTCATCCTCAGTGTTCTCTTTGGTTTTTCCTCTATTTTGATTTGAGAGAACTCTTCAAAAAAAAAAAAAAGTGGGAAAAAGTGGTTAGAAAATAAAAGTAGAGTGGATTTATTACATAGACCCAGGGATTTTAATAAAGTTTGATATCACTTAAAATTAAATTTTGAATAAAATAAATTTAATTTGGACTTCATTTAAAAAAACGAAGGAAATACATGTTAAATGGTTGTTGTCAAGGATATAAATTGACATACTAAAATAAAGTTGATTAATTTACATTTATTATGTTTCCCTCTTCCAAAAAGTCTACTGTTATATTCTCTTTTCATATCAGTTTAAAAAGTGGTTAGTGCTTAGAGATGTTCTTAATCAATAATCATATGTGAATGTCCTTTTAAACATTTTGATCAAATGTTTCCAACACTCTTATGTTCTGCTTTTTCAGAAGAAGACCATTTGTGCCATTATTTGGTCAGCTCAGTTTTTGAAATAGCAAAATAATGAAAAATCAAGCATTGCCAAGACTGTTTGAACAGAATTAATGATGGTAGGAAACAGTAATAGGAAAAAAATCCATAGATAAATCACATGGGATCCAGCACCAAGAAAACAAAATATAACTGAACAAATGTTTATTGTTTCCTTTATGTTTGTAAGATATGAATGGGCTGTCAGTAATGCTGGATACAGAGTTATTGGCAGAGAATTTGGCCAATTCCTGCCAAATTGTCAGAGAATATGCACTTTGGATTTTTTTGGAGGGTGGGCAGGGAAAGCGGGAGAAGGTAAGAGTGATACAGAGGAAAAGGGGTGGCAAGCTGAGATTGTGTTAGGGATAGCTACTGACAGTATAAAATTACTAAAATAAAATGAGAATGAAGAATGAAATAAATCCTTTCTTTGAAAATATTCAAATGAAGCTGTGTAATTTCTGATGTGCTGTTTGCTGTGCCATAGATAGCACTGGAGAAAACCGAAAAGCACTTACTGATTCAAAAAAAAAAAAAAAAAAATTAAACTATGAACTACCAGATGACAAGATCTTTTCATGTTTTTTGATACCTCTGCATTTTATATTCCATCCTTTTTCCCACTCTCCAAAGCCTCCCTCAAGGGGCCAGCCGGAATATTTTGATTGAGAAAAGTACACATAAACAATTATCCTTAGTGACATTTGATATAGCAGGCCCAGAAGGCTAGAGATGGGGTAGTAAAGAGTACATAGCCAGCTGAATCCACTTGGAATGCTAAGTGGGAAGAGATCTGAAAACTAGACTTGGCAGATTCATTTTTCAGTGTGTCTGAAGTCAAAACCAGAGGAAGCAATGATCAACAGTTTTTATATAACTACTGGGATCTTGTATATTTTTCAAAATATGGTGTTAATCTCATTATTAATGTCCACACAGATGTAACTTTTTATTCTGCCATAACTTTTCACCGTGAAACTTTTGATGGCACTGCATCTATACTTCAATTTAAGATTTTACCCCATTCAAGCAAGAATGAGGATCATGAAGTGATTTCAAAAAAACCCTTAAGTTATGTGACAAAATTCTGTGTACATCCAACTGGTCCATAGCTTTCATCAGATTCCCAAAAGGATCTGCTGTCCCAGGATGAGAGAGAGCCACATTAGAATCCAATGGACATGTTCTTACCAAATTCACTCACTGATTTCTTAATTACCAAATTTAATGCCTCTGCTTCTGTTCTCTCCATCTTTAACTTGTGTATAGTGAGTTGCTACTGTTGACCTCCCCCTTCAAGAGACTCTTCTGATATTCGTGATTTGCACTCTCTCCTTGTTTTCTTCCTTCTCTCTAGTAAGCTCCTTCTGTCATTTTTTCTGACCACTTTTCTGTAGCCTACTAGTTAAATGAAAAAAATCCCCCAACATTCTGTTCTCTCTTATTTGTATACTCATCTGAATGACAACTATGACTTCACCTACCACTCCAAATGGAAATTATAAGCCATGTCCACACTCCCCATAGTAGGCCTAAGTTTCTAATAGCTTACTAATTTGTTTCTATTAGCCTACTAAGATATATGTTTAGAAATGTCAATTTACGCTCTGATAAAATTATCATAAATTCATCCTCTTCCATTCATCTCCACCATTACCATCCTTGCACTCAGATTAACACACACTATCACATGGACTACTCTACCTTTCTAAATGCTTGATCTACACTCTCCCTTAAACTTTCTTCCTCTCCTTTCCTGACCTTGTCATTTCACTATATGACAAACTGAGTAGGTTTTTATGTTTAAAATCTGATCACATCAAAATCCTTCAATTCTTTCCTGTTGCTTTCTACATTAGATCAAAAGTCTTCCCACACTTTCACATGCCTATGAAGTTTTGTAGTCTTTCTTGGCTTTAATTATGTCAGTATTCTCTTAACTGGATTCTTCTATTCTTCTTTTCCCAGTATACTTAACACACTATTAGACTGTTATTCTAACTATGCTCTTCAGATTCCCAGAACATACAATACTTTTTCATTGCCTACAGGAAAAGTACAGTGATCTTTCCAATTTATTCACTACAACTGACTTTCACAAACCATGTACTATTAGGTATATATTCTCTCTATTCAGAATGCTCCTCTCCCAACTTTAGGCATCAAAACTTTACAAAATCTTAAAAATAGAGCATTAATGGCAAATTATACCATTACTTAAAAATCTTTCCAAGCAGTTATAAGTAATCTTCATATGCTCTGATGAAAATCTTTGGTCTATACTTTTTTGAAGTAATATATTATTTTCAACAATGAATTACAGTTATACATGTTCATGTCTAGGAGCTCTGGTAGCATAGTGCCTAAAGCACTTGACTGCTAACCAGAAGGCTGGCAGTTCAAACCCCACAGCCACTCCTCAGAAAGAAGATAGGGCAATCTACTTCCATAGTGATACTGCCTTGGAAACCCAGGGAGGGGTTGCTATGAGTCGGGTCTGACTGAGCGGCACATAACAACAACAACAACAACATATTCATGCCTAATGTTCTGTTCTGGGCCTTAAACTTCTTGGATGCTTTTTCTATTTCTAATTAATTATTCTGTAGTTCACATTTCCATTTCTCTTGATAAATAAATTGTTCACCACTGAAAATTAAAATAAATTGTTCACAGTTGCTTATTTAGCAAAATCTATACTTGTG